TATATATATATATATATATATATATATATATATATATATATATATTTTAAAANAATTTGTAATTAAAGATACAACTTTGACACACACAAGATAATTTTGTACACAAATTTCATGTACTTTTATTTATACAATCTTCCCCACTAATAACATTCGTATTCCATCTTACCAATTATTTCTTTGGTTTAAGAATATTTTTATTTTTTTCCAATATAAGATTGATACTTTATACATATATATGTAAAAATTCTATATATATACATATAGAATTTTTTTATTATATTTTTTTGATTAAAAAATAGCTAATTAAGTTATATATGCTAAAATAACAAATAATTGGTAGTTGGAATATGAGCATAGGAAGGTTATATACAAAAATAACTTAAGGCATAAGATGTATCTTTTTCTAGATATATAAAATTTGCATTTCATAGAAATTTTGTCATTAAAGTAGAAAAACCTTTCACTATTTTTGTTCTCTTTCCTACAAGATTATTATGTATATGATTTATACATTACAGATTCATAATAGAATAAGAAAGATATGTACAAGAGATTGTGACATTTAATATTTTGATAAAATGTAATGTGTAAGCACTTATTAACTTTGATAGAACTATGAATACCAAAATCAAAACTCTTCTTTAACTTCAACTTTAACTATTATTTATTTCGCGTATTAAGAAAACTATGCATAAATCTCATAACAACAATCTTAGTACAAATGTTTCATGAAAGTACAAGCATATTAAAAAGAAATATTTTTCTATTTTTTCTTGATATTGATTGAGAAACATTCTCTGTACTTAGATACAAATATCAACAAGAACCACGAATCTATAAAATCTATTTTCGTAAGTTGCCTCTTTAGGCTTAGAATATAAATTTATTTATATTCATAATTAATTTTTTTGATTTTAACGTATTTTACCACTATTTGATTGATTATTTCCAATAGTGTCACATCGTCGATAATATAATAAATATGGAACTCTCGGAGGTGTAGGTTTTAATACATTATTTTCAGAAATACCTTTTAATGAACTATCATCATACCTGACCCAACCACCATATCCAACATGAAAAGCATCTGTAACATAATGACCTTTTGTTGCCTCTTTTCCATCATGATAGGTAACTGCAAATAATTTATAATGTTTTTGCTTGGGATTTAATTTTTTTATAGCATTTGGTGACAGGAATTCTAAAACAAAATTTGGAATGATTTAAAATATTATAAATTCAAGGAAACACAAAAATTAATAAAATGTTTACTAACTGCTATCCAATTTTAAATCAATTGGAAATTCTACACTTTTCACAATTTTTGAGCAACCATCGAGTTTGTAATCAAACCATTTCAAATGTAATATGAGAATGACAGGTAATTCTTCTAAAGTAACTTGTTTCCAAGCTTCTATTTGTTGTTTTGTTTTACTACATGTCATTCCTTCTAATTGATCTTTTCCAACAAGAATTTCTAGTGCACCTTTAACAGATTCTGCTTTCTAAAAATAAAATATTTTATTATTATATTAATATAATTTTATATTGGGTTTTTTTTATAAAAGTAATACTTCAATATCAAGCTGTAATGTAAAAAAAGGTTGGACGTTATCTGTTGGTTGTTCTCCTGCCCTCGATACTCTAGATCTCAATTGTCCACGAAATATATCTGACAATGGTGTTCTTCCAAATTCAGTACACCGTGTAATAGATCCTTTATTTTTTGGACCCATAACCTTTAACCCAAACTTTAATATTAATATCGTTCTATAATTAACTATTACATTATTTAGCAAACATATATCATATTTTACCTTCCATTCTTCTTCTCCGTTATTATAATTTATATTACTTTCAATATTACTTGTTATATTTTGGTCATTATTTACTAATTTAATAAGCTAGGAAAAAATAAATATATCATATATACACATACATACACACTATATATATATATATATTCATTATATTCTAATTAAAATTTAAATTAAAATTTAATAAAAACTCGATTAAAACGATTATTATGATCATACTTCAAGCATTTCGTCATTGATACCGTTCAGAAGGCACGAAAGGAATTCTTCAGCATCTTCTTGTCGTCCTTCTACTGAAAACACACCTGCAGCTGATGTATTTTTTAGCATTGTATATACATAAAAAGGTTCAAAAGCCACTCCACTTTGTATATCTACTATTGTATCTTCTCCTCGTTTATTTGCTCTATCTTTTCTAGCTAATCGTGCACCATCTGACAAAGGTGTAAATTCATGTACAAACTTGATCCTGTATAAAAAAAATGATTTAATATTTACTAGAAATATTGTTAAAATAATATTATATTCAATATTTAATAATATATTTATATTAAAAATTGTAAAAAATAGTAACTTTACTTACATGTTATCAATAAGTGGAGTGGAAGACATTTTACTAGGATTTTTAGAATGTGGTAGAGCCATTAAAAGATTGTAAAAAGGTGGACAAGCAAGCAAAGCTTGCAATATACTATTAATATAACAATAATTACTACGATTTGTTAATCCTCTAGGTAATAAACTAACAGTTTGTTTATCCATTTGATAATTTAGTAAAAATTCTACAACAAAAGATATTAATATCATATTAGAGATATATATTTGATAGATATTAGATATTTAAATAAAAAAATATATTTTTGTCTATTAATTTTATTTACTTACCACCCATTCGAAAAGCAATAGGATCATTGTAATGATTTTGTAAGGATTCTGCTTGTGACTTTTTATTTTCATTTTCAATATTTTGTAAATTGGATGATATATTTTCATTTATAAATACTGTTGTGCTAGATTGATCTTTCTCTATTGATTGTATAATTTTTGGTGTTGTATTGTTTTCTGTAATCAATAGAGGATTAATGCGTGCTGTTGGTTTGTAATTTAATGGATTTGATTGTGCTTCTGCGCTTCCTTTTTTTAAAATACTAGCCCAAGATACACTAGATAAAGTTGGTAATGATGTAGCAGGAGTGCTTATTGCATTAGATGAATTACTTGGTGTTTTAATGACAATTTCATCTTGAATACATTTTTTAGAATCTTCTTTATATATTTCATTTTCATTTTTAGAAATTGGTTTTGATAATGTTTTAACAACAGTAGTTTTAATACTAGAAACAGTTTCATTTTTGTATTCTTTATTGGTTTCTCCATTTTGTTTCACTTCAATACTACTATTAATATTTACGCATGGTACATCATTTTTCTCAGTTCCATTACACTTTTCATTTACAGTCGATACAATATTATGCTCTATTTTAACATTAACAGGAGGTACTTTCCCATTTGTGGCTGAATTTTTTCTATTGATAATATTTTCATCCACATTATTAGTACATTGTTCTACTTTACTATTATTTACAGTTATTACTGTAGTAACTATATTGGTCTGCGAAGAATTATCTTCTTCATTTATTTGATGAAAAGGTTGTTTGACAGGTGTATAAACATTTTGTATTCGTTTCTCATGAGATTTTGTAGTTTGTATTTTTGTACATTCTTGAGTAGATTGAGAAAGTATAGGTGCTGCTTGTCGAACACATCTTATATTTCCTGAAGGATGATGATATGGAGAATATCCATAAGTAGGTTGGGTATGAGGATGTGTGCTTGTATGTGTATGAATATTTGGCTGATATATAGCTAATGGAGGATAATGAACATGACCGGAGAATTGTTGTTGTTGTGTTTGATCTGGATACATAACAACAAAAGATAAAGGAGGATGAAATTGTCCTTGTTCTCCCATATATCCTGGTTGCATTTCATTTGCAGTACTTATTCCACGATTAAAATTATCTCTTTTTATTCCTCTCCCTCTATTATTTCTTCTATTAGTTTCTCTATTACAGTTAACATCATGAATCTCACCTCCAAGATTATATCCAGGATGAGAATAAGTCATTGCAGGCATAAATGGTTGTATGTGAGCATCTGTTGGAACAGGATACATTGCTGGTCCTTGCCAATCGCTACATACTATTTGCTGTGCATATGAGGGTGGTGGTGGCACTAATAAAAAATGAAGTTAAATAAAGCATAAAAATAATAATATTAAAATATTAATAGGTAACTTTAAATAATTACCATTATGATACCATTGATTATGCAGTTGTGGAATTTCTGTTATGGAAGCATTAGCATCATTATTAGCTTCAACTGTATCCCATGGTAATTTTAAGGTATTATTAGTAACATTAGATTTTAAAATGTTTATTAAATGATTCTTATCATTATCATTTAAATCATGTAAATCTAAAAATTGGAAATCAAGCTGAAACAAAAAAAGATTTATTTATGACTTAATATCTTAATATATAATATTACTTAATATATAAGTAATATTATTTATTATAAAGTAATCTATATAATATTCTTTATGATAAAGTATAATATCTTTTATCGCATAACATATAATTTAAATAGCTTATAGAAATGAATAAAAAATAAATAAAAAAAATGAATATATAAATAAATATTCATTAAAATTAGTTGTTTTTTTTTTGATTAATAATAAACAATTATTTATATATATTATTATAATTTCAAATAATTATTATAGAATACTTATTATATAAAAATACATATATAGTACATATATAAAATATTAACACAAATTAATATGATATATGCAGAAATTCAATATTGTTTAATAAATATCTTTTTTAATAATTATATGATATCATAATATTTGTAATATATACATTAGTTATATTAATTTGTTAAATAATAATTGCAACTAAAAATTTAACTTCAAATTCTATGATAATTTTAAAATTATTAAAATAATTGTATTAATTAACATAAATTTATATATA